TGTCACCCTGGGCCTTCCCAACGTCCATACATGGCCTCAGCGCTGGGATTTGGGGAGGCCAGGCACCAGACTTGCTCTGTTATGCTAACAGGGGTGCATGGGTTTGCAAACACAGCAAGGACTTTCGGGTGCTGTGTATCCCCCTTATTTCTGAGCTTGAGGCGCCACCTGCCCATGTGACCCCTCTTGGAAAGGTCGCTGCTGTGTCCCTCTTGCAGCTGCAGTTCAGCCGCGCCATCTGCAATGGGAGGCGCCTCACACCACCCTGACTTCTTTGTGTGTCGTTGCAGGGCTGGGCGGCCATTGAGTGGATAATTGAACACTCTGAACTTGCCGTGAGCTAACACGGCCTGCGCCTGCACCCGTGGTGATCTGGCGGTGACAACGGCATTCACTCCCCTGGTCCAGAAGCTCAGCCTCGTGTGGACATGTGCGTGGCGTGCGGCGGCGGGAATACCCTTGGGAGATGCAGCTGCGTGTTTGTCTCCAGCCCTGTGCACCCGGCGTCTTCCGTGGAGAAACAGAGTCACTAGGTCCATCCTCTTTCTGTTTGGTTTCCTTGTTTCATGGCAGGATTTACTTTCCCGGGAAGCTTGAGCTGCTGTTATCCGGCATCTGATGGAGGAGCTCAGAGTGTCCACCAAGCTGCTCTCAGTGGCTTAAACATTCCTTGTCACCTGTGCATAGCCAGTGCAAAAGCTGTCATCTGACGGTCCTGAGTGTCACGCCTGTGCTGCTGGGGGACCGTTCGTTTTGGGTGACATCTGCACACGCTCACGTGAAGAATGTCTTGTCCCCCTCTCTGCTCTCGCCACAAGCCAGTGTTCAGCCATGCAGCTGCCCCTGGCCATTTCCTTGAATGGCAGAAGCCATTTCTGGCATCTCCTTGAGCTCCACAAACATTCCTTAGCTTCTTCAGCTGCCAGTGGCTGGCTTGGCAGATGGGCCTGACACTCAAGGGTCTGCGTACTTAGGAGAGGGGCGTTCTGTGTCCCTCTGCTCAGGACCCCGCCCTCCTGCCTGAAGCCCCTGGGCACCATAGAGTTGGCGCTGTGCTGCTCTGGGCACTCCTGCGGGCCACCTCCAGAGAGCACTGCACGGGCCAGCACTGTTGCTGAGACTGCCGAAGTCACTGGAGCTGAGCTTTGCCAGAGACCTTCACCTTGAATCCAAGGTCATGGTCTGCCACGGGGCGCCCCTCCTTCATGGCCTCACCCCGAATTTGGCGCAGTAGGGAGCTTGCTCACCTGGCCTGTGTGTGTGTGCAGCTGGTATATGACGGTGTCACCGGAAGGGCATCCCAGGCTCCTTGGGTTCTGCTTCCTCATGAACAAGAGCTAAACCACCTCCATCTTTAATCAGATACCTTGCCAGAAAAATCAGAGAGAGAGAGGGAAAGGAAAAGAAAGAAAACAGAGTGTGGATGTGGTTGACCGGGAGAGGTAGAGTCTGGTGGACTCGGCTGGAGTTGGCCTGTGGTGACCTCCCAGGACAGAGCTGGCTAGGGTGCAGGTGAGCTCTGGGCCGTCCCGGAGTGAGACCAGCGGAGGGAGGACTGCCAGCGAGGGAAGGACCTGGCGGCAGAGCCAGAGCTGTGCCCATGCCTACAGTCAAGTTCAGCCTGGGACGGCCCGGCCTATCGGCCCCACCACCCCACCTGTCTTCCCTCGGAGGGGCTGCTAGCTCTCAGGTCTTGCTCAGTCCCTTCCCTCCTTTCAGATGATCCTGCCATCCCCCAGGCTGACCCACGCCACCTTCACCCGAGGCCCCGACAGATGTCTGGCAGCTGTCCCCACACTGGCTGCTGTGTCCGGGCGCCCTCCCCGGCAATGTGTGCAGCCTTCCTAGATGCGATGGCCCCTGCTCTCTGCAGATCAGAGGGGAGCTGTCTTTTGCCCACCAGTGTCCACCCCTGCGCCTCGGAGGCGTCTGTTCACATGGACCGCTGAGAAGGGAGGCCTGGTGGGGAGGATCTCTGCTGCCGGCCATGTTGGGAGGCGGGTCCTGGGACCAGCCTGCTTTTTGGTTCGCTCCTAAATATCCTTCCTCCAGAGCAGTTCAGCTTCCCTTGACAAGACTCCTCAGTCTTTTTTTGGTTTTGTTCTTTTTTTATTTTTTTAATTTTGACTCAGTCTTTTGGGGAGAGGGCTAAGGCCCAGGCATCTCAGGACCTTTTCTGCAGGCTGTGAACTAGCCCCTGACGCCGGAGCCCTCCCTGCCCTGGGGACACCACCCCCTCAGGACTTTCCAGGCCTGGCTTGAAACATCTGCCAGTCCCACACACACCAGCCAGGGCTCCGCCTTCCAGCTTCACCGGGTGGGTTGAGGCAGCAGCCTCTGAGTTTTGTGTTCTTGTTTTTCTCCTTATAGTCTTGTGAGCAGTTCGGGGACAAGGGCAAATGGGCCTTTTTCCACAATCTTTACATCAAAGTTGTTTGAAACAACATTAATTTTTTTAAAAAAATGTAAAAGCAATCCATGTTTATGGCTTTCTTTTTTTTGAGTCAGAGTGTCACTCTGTTGCCCAGGCTGGAGTACAGTGGCATACTCCCAGCCACCGCAGCCTCAACCTGCTGGGCTTAGGCGATCCTTCCGCCTCAGCCTTCCAAGTAGCTAGAACTACAGGCACACTCCACCATGCCTGGCTAATTTTTGATATTGTAGAGGTGAGGTCTCGCCAAGTTGCTCAGGCTGGTCTAGAACTCATGAGCTCAGGCAGTCCTCTCATCTCGGCCTCCCAAAGTTCTGGAATTATAGGCATGAGCCAATGCACCTGGCCCATGTTTATGGTTTAAAAAGGGCCAGCCATGGTGGCTCATGCCTGTAATCCCAGCTCTTCAGGAGGCCAGAGTGGGAGAATCATTGAGCCCAGGAATTCGAGACCAGTCTGGGTAGCATAGTGAGGCTTTGTCTTTATATTTAAAATTTTTTTTTTTTTTGAGTTGGAGTCTCACTCTGTTGCCCAGACTGGAGTGCAGTGGTCGCTCCCGGCCACCGCAGCCTCGACCTGCTGGGCTCCAGTGATCCTTCCGCTTCAGCCTTCCAAGTAGCTGGAACTACAGGCGTGCGCTACCACACCCGGCTAATTTTTTGATTTATCGTAGAGATGAGGTCTCACCAACTTGCCCAGGCGGGTCTCGAACCCATGGGTTTGGGCAATCCACTCACCTCAGCCTCCCAAGGCGTGGGATTACAGGCTGAGCCACTGAGTCCGGCTAAAAATTTTTTTAAATTAAAAAAGAAAATATAAAAACAAAAAGTCCAGAAATCTGTTGAAGGATAAAGAGTTCCCCTCTCCCTCTGTCAATTTACTCCCCCTTTTTATGAAACTTCGAGAAGTTTTCCATGCATATGAGAGTCTCTGCGTGGTTTTTCTCTTTTTCTTTTTAAAAATTAAACACACATAAAATCATACTGTATCTATTGTTTCATGTCTATCTTTTCTCTACTTTTAAGCAACAATATCTTGAAAAGTTCCAGCCAGGTGCGGTGGCTCATGCCTCTAATCCCAGCATTTGGGAGGCTGGGGCAGGAGGATGACTTGAGGCCAGTAGTTCGAGACTATCCTGGTCAACAAAGTGAAACCCTGTCTTTACAAAAATAGAAAAATTGGCTGGGCATGGTGATGTGCATCTGTAGTCTCAGCTACTTGGGAGACTGAGGCAGGAGGATCACTTAAGCCCAGGAGGTTGAGGCTGCAGTGAGCTGTCACCATGCCACTGCACTCCAGCCTGGGCAACAGAGTGGGGCCCTGTCTCAAAAGAAAAGTTCCCTCTTGAGCACCAGTCGTATAGCACCTAAATCTTAATTCCCAAGGCCAGTGGGGTCTACTTGCTGATGTGTGCTGGGTTTGCCGACTGCTTCCCTGCGTGAGGCAGAGGGTCTGGGCCATGCCATCGACCAGCTGCCCCTCAAGGACGGTGCCGTCTCCCTGATACCATCTGCAGCACTTTCTCTGGTGGCAACTTCTTGTTCCACTTGTTTCGAGTCAACTCTGCAACTTCACAGAGCTGATGGTCTAAAATGTGTCCCAGAGGTAGTTCTGTTCTGGGGGAAGCAAGAAAATGTGTGGTTTTGGGAACCAGGTTTCTGAGGCCGGTGTAAAAGGGCAGTTTTTCTGTGGCCCTCTACAAGGCCGGGGCATACGGAGGCATGTGTTTTTGGAGGACCATAGTATTTTTTGGGACAAGAACAGTCGTAAATGCCCGTCACCAGCCACTTCAAACCTTCAGTGACTCAAGTGGGGTAAAAATAAGCACTACATGTGCTGGGCTTTTTATTCTTCGCTTTCCATTATACATACGTTTTTTTGTTTTGTTTTTGAGTTAGAATCTCACTCTGTCACCTAGGCTGGAGTGCAGTGGCATGCTCACGGCCACCCCAGCCTCGACCTGCTGGGCTCCGGTGATCCTTCTGCCTAAGCCTTCCAAGAAGCCGGAACTACAGGCGTGTGCTACCACCCCCGGCTAATTTTTAATTGATTGTAGAGACGAGGTCCCACCAAGTTGCCTGGGCTGATCTTGAACCCGCGGGGTCAGGCAATCCACTCGCCTCGGCCTCCCAAAGTGCTGGGATGACAGGCTGAGCCACCGAGCCAGACCATAAATAAGTTAAAAATTTTCTTTGGGTGGTCCAGTCCTTAAATCAGGGAAGTAGTAGTAATTGTTTGCAATTAGTGTCAAGTTCTGTGGCTTTGCAAACAGCTTTCTGCTTTGGGTGGAAATGGATTCCATGTGTATGTCTTTCAAAGTGCAGTAGTGAGAAAGAGGAAAGAGTTGAACAAGGAGGCTCTGTCTGCAACTGACTGTCAGGATAACCCACTCCCTTCAGCCCTGCTGGAAATGGATTCGGTATTTATTTATACTGCTTTCTATTTGGAATTCACCATCAGCACAAAAGCAAATATTGTTTGGTAAAGTATCGTAGAGGCAGTTTAACCTTGATTTCTAATTTGAAAAAACAGCCAGAAGTTTAGCCCTAATAATACAGTACTATTTCATATCTTTGAATGCTGCTGCTGTATTCATGTTGGATAGGGACCCCGGCACTCAGAAGAGACGTCCGGGCCAGTCTCCTGGCCCGACTTGCTCTGGGGCAGACGTTCTCAAAGCCCAGAGGGATAGGACCCTGGAAGGGTCAAGAAGCCTCGGAGTGGATGATCAGCAGACTTGGCGTGGACTCGGAGGACCCGGCGGCCCAGCCTGCGAGAGTGTGAAGCCACCGCGTGGGTGACAGAGACCTGCTGGCCCGGCACTGCGACAGATTCTGGCCCTCCCCAGCGCAGACAGCACAAGTCACCTCTTGGTTTGTCAGAAAGGACGTTTGCTAATATTAGTACACGCCTGGACACACTGAGGGAAGGGGCACGGGAAAGACAGTGGGTTTGAAACGTCTTGGCCTAGGCCTTACCTTTTTTCATTTTTGTTGGAAAGATTTAAAAAACAAAACGAAATGAATCAGTTAATTTAACCCAGAGTCCAGAATGTCAGAGTGAGAGAGGATGGCTCTCTCATACTCTACCATGGCCACATTGCAGCAGGAGC